GACATTTTCATGGTCTCTGGTTGTTGTTTAACTATATTATCGATGTGGTTCTCTTGAGTAAACTAATGCAGATATATATTTTATTTCATAGTGCAAACAAGTAGTGCCACTTTATGGGCTGGTACAAATAATGGCACAGTGTACGTATTTACAATAAATGTGCCCTCGGGTCAAAAAAGAGAGCAGGATGATGTTACATGCCAGCTGGCTAAAGAAATTCAATTAAAACACCGCGCGCCGGTCATAGCAATCGCAGTTCTAGATGGAGCAAGTCAACCATTACCAGAGCCCTTAGAGGTATTTGAATTTAATTTATAACAATACCAACAATTACACACTATCACTTTTGAATTTTATTTTGAATAGGTAGAAAAAGGTGTGGCGCCAATTCCTGATTCAACACAACCACATAGAGTATTAATTGCCTCTGAAGAACAATTTAAAATATTTTCTCTTCCCAATCTTAAACCTTTCTGCAAGTATAAACTTACTGCTCACGAAGGTGCTAGGTAGGATATATACATATATACATATATTACTATATAGAATTTTTTTAAATTAGAAAAAAAATCTTACATAATATTAACATAAAACGTTGAGTATTAGAATATTGGATATATTAATTGATTGCACTTCTTGCTTTACAGAGTTAGACGTACCGGTTTTGCAACTTTCTCTTGCAATTTAGAATCCGGTGAATATCATGAAACTGGATTATTATGTTTGACAAATCTTGGTGACTTGCTGGTCTTGAGTGTGCCAGAACTCAGAAGGCAATTAAATGCTGCAGCTATTAGAAGAGAAGATATTAAGTATGTTTTCTCTTGCATTTAATAATAATCTATAATATATCATAATAAATATCATAAATAACAAATTATCATGAATATATTAATTGCAGTGGTATATCTAGTTTGACATTTACACGAGCCGGTGAGGCTTTGTATTTACATTCATCTTCAGAATTACAAAGAATAACGGTTTCAGCTACGAAGGTAATTTAATGTAGTATTTTATTTTTATATTTACTTATCATATTCTGTATACCCAAATTTGTTATATTGTGATTTTATCTCTATAAATTAAAATTCAATTAAGATTTTTTTACACATTTAGGTTACATCAGCATGCTGTCATTTAAATCTTTCTCCTTCTGCACGTCCTGAATTACAACCTGCACAAACAGAACTTGATAACGCCGATTCTGCAGCCGATGACAATGAAGAATGTGAAGAAACCCAAGGTGACAGCTCGATAGAGATTTTATCCAATGATGCATCAAAGGCCACACAAAAAATTATTGTCACTTCCGTACAAACTGTTAAGGAACATACAACTAACTTAACCAGTTCTACATCAAATACCACACAGCAAGTTAAAGAAAATGGTGAAAGGCTTGTAAATGGTGTTTTGGATTCTCCAAATAAGACAGAAACTTCTGGAAGCCAGGACTTGGATGTTACTATTACGAGCAGTGTGGGTGATATTACTATAGATTCAGTTAAAGATCACTTGAATTCAACTTTCATGAACATGACAACCCTTAGTGGCGGGGGCGATGATGTTAGCGGTAAGTGCTTTTTCAAAGCATAACTATATATATAACTTGGATGCATACTTAAGCTTATTATATTTGTTTTAATAATAATCAAAGTGAAATGATTTCTTATTGTATATGGGATATTTTAATAAATATTTTACTTGTATGGAAGATAAAGAGAATATTTGAAAATATGCATGCATGTAGATAAATTTGCAATAATTTATGCACGGCTGACTTTCCTCATTCATACAAAGATTTTCTGTGTAGAATTTTCTATTGTGCATTCAAAATATATGCAGGAGTATAAAATATTTTTAAAAGTTTTTATAACATGTATGGTAAGATACACTGAAAATTGGTTATTTCATAAATCTTATGATATAGACTTGGCATTGTCTTCTACAGTTGACAATTTTATTAGTTTGAAAAAAATATTTCATGAATAAGGGTTAAAATATGTGTCAAAATATACATTCTGAAGTATTAAAGAGTGTTAATTAAATTTTAATTGAAGTGAAGCTTTCAATTGCTTCTGAAGTTTATGGAAAAATATATATTTTTATTCTTTTAATATTAATTAATTATGTTTCTACAGGTCGTCTTACATTTTCTAATATGCCTCAAGCAGTGGTCTGTAGTGTGATTGTAAAAACAACCACAACCACCATCAATAATTCATCAGGAAATTCTTTAACAACGACTGAAGTAGTAAATTCTACAAATTCTGGGATAACTAGTACACTTGAAAGTAAGTAATAATTCAAATTCAGTAAAATTTATTTATACTGTTAATGTATATTTTACTTCACTACAGATTTCTTCGGTTTAAAATGGTTATATTACAATGCTATTGATTGATATATACATAGCTCGAACCAGTTTTTTGAATTGAATTAATTACAAAATTAAACAAATTTTAAAATTTATCATATTATATTCAATCACTAAATAACATAAATACTATGTTATATATTAAACTATATTTATTGCTGTAGTTTGATATTGATACTTAATTGGCTATATGTATAGTGCGCTTTTGGTCTCCACGGTGTAAAACTGTCCTATTGTGTTTGTTATATTTGTTTGTAATAATACTTTGAGTTTTCATACAAAATTGAAACATTTTAGAAAATGCTATATGTTTGTATAAAGCACTGCTAGTAATAGGAACTATATATAAAAATTGTTTGTCGCTTATTTTGTAGCTGTAGAAACACGTGTAACCGGAGCTCCCAGCACTCGCATTGTTGAGGTTAGACAAAAATGAAAAGAAATATAACGATATAGCGCTTTTTTATTACTAATTTTACTAATACTCTGCTTATTAAAAACTGGGATTACGGTTTTATGTATTACGTACTTTAATATTACTAATATTGTGTTCTGAATTTAACTTTACACTCTCAATATTGTTCTGTACACATAGAACCAAATACTAAATTTGCAGTCATAAAAATGTTCATATTACATTTGCCATGATATTTATTATATCAACTTATTAATATAATTTAAATATATTAATTGTAAATAATTTGTGTATTTATACAAATGTTTCAATTTAATAGGAATTTTCTGAGAACATCAATTTACTTTTATTTAAAAAATAATTAACAAAAAACATTTAATTTTTAATTATTAGTGCACAGAAAGCATTGTGCTATTTACATGTTTAAGAAGTAAATTGTAAATCATCAAACTTCTATTTCTAAACCTATAAATTTCCTCATCTGTGGTACTGTTGCATGTTAACATTACGTAACCAATAATTGGATATGCCAATTTCTTTTCTTCAAAATTATAATATTATAAATGATAATGAATCTTTCTTTATTGAAGTAATTAAATATTTCTTTCTGAAAAGTTTGTCAGTCAATTCTAATTATTACAATTTTTTTTTTGTTTTTTAATTTAAAATATATTTTTGATGTTTAAATAATATTTATTTCTTTGGTAGTTTTCCAAAAAATATTGAATCAAACTTTCCTGGCTGTGGAGTTTTTAATAAAATTCATTTATTTTCAGAGCTGTGGAGTTGATGTAGAAATAATTACAAAGCAAAATTAATAAAACTTGTCTTTGTTATAAAGTTTGAAATCCAATTAACTATATTTAGATTTTTTCTTCAATGAAAGCTTCATGGCTCTGCAAATTTTAATGATGTTTTGTAAAACCTTACTAATATATAATGCATTTATATTTTATTTTTAAATAACATTTATTTAAATTTTTAGACTAGCTTATTCACATCAAGAGCTAATCCTCGTGCGCCGTTAGCTTGCGTTGAAGAAATGGAATCAGAAGGGATTGCTACAAATGAAACGTGAAGGAATAAAACATAATCAAAGTATTAATATTAATATTTCACAAGTTTGATCAAACTTTAATGAATTTTTCTATGAAAACAAAGCATTCCGAGAGCTGAATGCTGCATTTAACAAATTTTTGATACATTTTTTTACAAACTAAGAAATTTATACAAATTCATGAATTCAAAATATCACTTATTTTACTAGTGTTAAGGAGATGTTTGAAAGTTCGATGCTTGAACATATATGACTGATTTAAAATGATTATTTTTTCATTTAACTTCATTTTTCATGAGATAGCATCGATTTAAATTATAGCATTTTATTTGAATTGAATTACAGTTGAGTAATTACATTATATATATTATATATATCAAAAAGATTGCCATATTATTAAGGATTTAATTTAAGAATTTTCATTTTTTTATCACAAAATTATTAAAACTAATTTTACTGATTAAAGTTTATATTTTTCTAAATAAGCTGCTACTGTGAAATATCATAAGATTTGCTATGCAATTTTAGTATTTTAAATATTTGTTAATGTATAAATTTCTAAAATATTTTTTATAATTAACATAAAATTATATGTGGCCTTGTAGTTGTAGATTTTTATAACTAAAGCAGATGTGTACATGAAACACTGCTTGTAGTTAATTTATATGGATTTTAAGATTTATTCATGTTAATTTTCAGTATTTTTACACACACTACATTATGTAGTGTAATTTACAAATTTAATTGAATGTTAATCATTTCTATTATCATTATTCATAAAAGAGCTATCATGAAATGGAAGGCAGCTGTTATTACTTTTTTTAATTGGTGAAGGAAAAAATTTAGTTAAAATTTATTCTATCCTATTTTCAGTACTTTAGGATGCTTTTAGTCACAAAGTAATGTATAATGAGGACATTATTTATATTTTTATCTTAATGGTATTCACAAATATCTGTATTTGAGTAAAATCCATTACAGAGAAAGCTCTAAGCACATTACTTTATGATGATCCAAAAAGAATAATCTGTTCCTAAGTTTTAAAGTTTTATTTAATATTCACATTATTTACTTACATTTCAATTCATTGATTTTTTTCTGATTTTAAGATAGTTGTAAAGATAAACTATGTGAATATAAAATTTGCAAAAAAAAAAATTATAAAATGATTGATACAACACAAAATATTTCATATTTATACATTAAATTGTAACATCACTTCAGAATTTATAATTCATGTATGCCTATCATAAATAAAAAGAGAAGAAAAATATCTTTTGGTTCAAGTTTCTTTTTCTTGTTTCAATAAATTTTAATACTGAGCTTGCTTGAATTGAAGCTTATTAACAATTATTTCTTTTTAAACAATTGTCTTAACTTCTTTATATCTTCTTCATCCATTAGAGCTGGATGGTCTGGTAATTCAAAGTCTTTTACTTTAGGTTTTTTTGCTGGTAAGCTCTTTCTTGTCTTAATTGGAATCTTTTTTTGTTTACTACTACCAGCACTTGTTATGAATATTTGAAATTTTTTGTTGTTATTACATTCTTCATTTTCTTCATTTTCGTTGGAACTGGAAACAGTTTCTGTCTCAGTGTTTATAATATCTGAAGCTTTATTTGAATTTTTGTAATTGTAAGTTTTAGTCTCAGACCCAAAAATATTCTTATTAGCTGAATGTAGGGTTACAGCTTCTAACAATCCACTTTTATGCTCTGATGGATTGTATTCATTCAATATCGGTACTCCTATAACAATAAAAACAATACATTATCTGATTTTAGATGCATTGAAATAATAAAAGTTGTTCCCAATATTTTTGCTCAGTGTTTTCTAAATGTGTAATGTATATATATAAATATATTGTAGATCAATAACCTTCTAAAACTGAACGAATGAATGCTGTTGCCTCTGCATTTAATGTACTATTTAAACCCTGACTAAAGTGAAAAGGCTGCAATAACTCTGAAACAGCTAATGCTTGAACTATCATTATATTATCTGTAACAAAATTAAAGTTATTACTAATAGAACTGAGTGAAATAAATCCATTTCAAAAGATTCATTTACTTCCTGGGATGATAACAAATCTTCCATACACAAATGCATTTTTATCCTGTGTATCATAATATTGTTTACATAATAGACATTCTTCATTAGTTCCGAGGCTGTAGCATAATGCTCGAAATCTATTTGAATTTTCAGTTAACTTATCAAAGTTAATATTGACAGAATTTGTTGCTGTAATTGTATATGGGACTCCTATTACTGATATGTCGGACAAAGCTGAAAAGATTAAAACATGCAGTTTGGTAGATATACACTGTAAACTTATAAGTTTATCAATAATTTGTTAACATTGATCAATTAAATAGTTCACCTCCTTGTGGAAGTCGGTTTATTACTTCTAATGTATGCAAAGGCACTGTCACATTTGAAGCAGTTCTGCTTGAGCCTCCTAACTGTACAGACATTGCATCTGTCTTGAACATAAAAATTAAATAACATCATCATCATCAAACTGATCGATTTATAAGGATCTTCCATTAAACGATAAATTCATACAAAAATTATAACATTTTTATGTGAATGAATGAATATAGCTGATATGGATATTTATTTATTCACCTGTAATTGAAATACATGGCCATAAGGCATGATGCATGGGTTCAAAACGCATTCTTGCAGATTACATTCCAGACTAAAATTTCCAAAAGTGTTAGGAAACTTAAGAACTAAATCTGTCTTAAAACTATAATCTCTCAGCCATGTCTTTAAGTATACTTCAATGGGACAATTAATAATCTGCATTAAACATAAAAAATTATATAATTTAGTAGTGAGCATAAAGATTGAATTAATAGAACCAACCTGAATAAAATCTGCAGATGTAATAGCATTACTCTGAATATTATCTCGACTGCGCAATGATTTTATGAAAATATTATTAATTTTGGTCAAGGTTAGATTTTCAATTACAGATGTAAATACATTCAAAGTGTAATAAGCATCTTTCATTGTTATAAAGGTAATTTGTATTGAATTAGGGCATTTGACATTGCTGTTCTTTGCACGAGCAGGCAACCCATTAAAATCATTAATTATGCATTGCACTGATAGTTCTAGATTGTTTTTAAATTCGGATAGCGGTTGAGGACTATCCAATGTTATGGTTTTAACTGACAATAACCCATTTTTAATCGATGAGAAATTAGTCTTTACAAAGTCTAATTTATGAATTATATAAAACTCTTTAGCTATTGCATATATACCACATGCAGGAATTCTAACAGAACCTTTTAAAGTTTCAGATAATTTTAATATGTTGATGACATCCTGAAAATAAATTTATCATAAACCATGTTTTCTATTTAGTTATTTTATGGGATTTACACATACATTAATGATATTACTGATAGACTCTGATGGAATTGTTGGATATAAGTCGATCAACAGGCAATGTCCGGGTTGCGTAGAAAATACTTCTCTTCTCGTAGAATTCATATTAGATAAAGGTTTATTATATTGCATTTACAATGATCTCATTTAAAATGTTCCGTTTTGATTTAATTCACTTTAACCGTGTACCACGCGATTGTACCTGTAACATAGTTCATTTGGCATAAATCATTGTTAGTGTTGCCTAATATGGATTTGCAACTAAATTTGTGATTATTATTTATTTAATTTATTATTGTGCAAAATTCATATATTCATATCATAATTTAAAATAAATATTTAAGTGAGAAAAAGTCACCAACTAATATGATAAACAAGGATGACAAAAGGGCAAAGCACCAATAATTATATATACTCTTCTTTTATTTATGTATGTATATAATTATGAACTATATTAAACCGCATTTACAACATGACTACAATCGGTTTTTAATTTTTTACTTTAAATATGTTCAGGAGTCATTCATCTATCTGTACAATGCCAATATCATATTTTCTCACTAAAACATATTAAATGTTTGTATCTAATTTATTGTATATTAAATAAAAGTTACTTCATTTCAGATGAATAAGCTTTACTAAAACCGCCAAACAGCCAGACCGCCTCAAAATCTAAAACAAAAAGAACGTTCAAATTTGGCGCAATAATGCTGCTAAATGTGGCAACCCTGTTTATTGTACTGCGTAGCAATTAATTCTTTTGTTAATAAAGTACTGTAAATAAACAATCTAAAAATTATATTTGATATTGATAAAAAATAAAAGTAATTAACAATATCTTTTAAAAACATTAATAAATCGCGTCTTTCGATCTCGAACACTTTAAGTTAATGACGAAACCGTATATCGTATTCAACCGCCTTATATTCCCGTCTCGCTCTGACCGTGCGCTGTGCGATGGCTGTGCGCGCACCTCCTTAGTGTTTCGTGTACACAAATCGGAGTCGTATGTTTTTTCGCAGTGTAATTTGAATATCACATAGAATCATGTTTGGCAATTTATCCGCTTAATCCTGATCGAGGCGTGAATCGATCTATTTCTTTTTGTACTGTGATATTAATCCGAGTGCAATTCTATCGATGGTCTGTGTATTTTTAAGTGTAGAAGTGTGATACAAGTGATTCAGTGTCATTTTCCATCCTGTCAAGTATTAAATGTAATATGGCCGCTTTCTAATACAAATCGCAGAAGTGCTTTGTTATTCAAATATTTCGTTTACTAGTTTCGATTAGAAAAGGAGCAATGGAGCTTCGAGTAGGAAATAAATATAGACTCGGCCGTAAAATTGGCTCGGGTTCTTTTGGAGATATTTATCTAGGTAAGAATATGGTCGTGGTGCATGTAAACAAAAAATTAGTTACAAAATTCATGTGGTATAAAATAAGTGAATAATACTTTGATCTGGAACCTATGAATTCGCGTGTTCGATGTACATGAGATATATATTATATAGTTTTCTGATTTTTGACAATTTCAGTCATTATTCGTCCTAACTCTGAATTGATCTTGCTTAAGACTAAACTTAAGTTTATTAAATAATCAATTAAAATGACTAGTTTCATATTCGTATATTGATTCACTATTCTGAGTTTTACTATTTTAATAACTTAATTTGTTATTATATTAAATAATAGAACTGTTTAATCTATTTTGTAACATTAAGATTAAGATTTACTGAAACGTATTAAAGTTGGTATATAGAATAAATATAGAGTATTCTTAACATCTATCAAAAATGAATACTAAACTGATTTGTATAAAACAAGGATTTAGTGTTTTCAAAAAGAAACTTAATTACGTATTATATATGTGAAATCTGCAACATGTGAACATGTGAATTTTAACCCACTGTGATATAATAAGCCAAATTGAAAGCCTCATCTAAATTAATATTTTGTATTGAATGTAATTAAACTATTCCTCAATTTGATGTATTTGTTAATGATATCATCGCGTTGAGAAATGGGAATATAATGTGTTATTATTTGTGTAAGAAAAACATTTGCAGAACAGTTACAACTTGACTTAACAATTTTGTGGTATGTGTGTGGAATCGTTTACTATGAACCAGTGTTCCCCAACAAGTGCAATTTGAAAAATGGACAACTTACGACTACAACCCTTAATTTTTGAGTAATTTAAATGAAAGTGAAATGCTAGACAAATAATGGTGACACATGTAAGGGGGCGTCCATTAATCATGTGAGCGAGTTTTTTAAGGATTTTTGGATCCCCCCTCCCCCTTGGTGATACATGGTGAAAATTAGTTACTACAGTAGGGCATGGATTAAGAGTTTAGGAAACACTGCTATAAATTTGAGTTTTCAAATATTCATCAATTATATTTTAATAAAAATATGAAAAGAAAATTATTTATCTGGTGGTGATGAGTGATTTATGTTGAGCTTTGAAAAGGATTGCATGTTTTCAGTGAATTTACTATTAAAATTACAAATATTGCAGTTTAGATTTTGACTTTTGAACAATTGCCAAAAATACAAGATAGCTATTTAATTATTAAACTATTACTAAAAGTTGTACCAAGAAGATGTATGTGTGTGTGTGTACGGTTACAAATTTTCGTCGACGATTTCGGGAACACCAATCAACCGATATGAATAATTCAAAAAATATTCGATTCGTATTGATAAGGAGACGTGCTGATTAGTTTTTGGCGAAGGCAGGTCTAGCGGTTATACACTCTCAATAAAAATAAGTTAAAAAAATGACATTTTGCGGTCAAAATGTTTATTGGACATATGTACATCAAATTATTAGATATTTTATAGACACTATTAGACATATGTACCATCAAATTATCAGATATTTTATAGAGATTTTAATAATGTGTACACATTTTGTATAAATTATTTTGGGTCCCGTACCAAGATTTCTAATTACGGTACGGGAAGTTCCAGCAATTTGCCTTAAGGCACGATGCCATGCACCCTCTTTAGTTTGTATTCAAAAGCGAAACATGTAATCCTTTACCAGGGCTGTGCCTGGCCAGTGTGCAGTGCGTGCACCGCACGCAGGCGGCCAAATCAAAAAAAGAACAAATTCAAAGGCGGCTATACACAAAAAGCGGCCATACGATGCTTAAAACAAGATGCATAATTTTTTCAACTAATCGACTTAACTATAAAAAATGTATTAATTTATGAGTGCATTGCAATGTGAAAAGCTATTGCATTCAATTTTGTACAAATTTTCTAAACAGGTATTATACTGTAGAATTTTGAAAAAATCGAAAAAATTTTTTTTTTCATATTTTCAAAGTTTAGTTATTCAAAAATATGTCAATAAAAGGATTTTTCAAAATTACTATTATTTCCTGAGTTATAGCCGTTTTAGTGACGTGGCCTTGGTTTGGGTCCGACTTGTCTCAAAACTTTGAACGCGTTTTTCTCGGAACTACTTTTTTCGAGCTGGCGGTAAGGATATCTTGAGTTCTAATGAACCAACTTACTTCAAATTTGGAGAGGATCTTCTCTATACATCGCTTTGTCGCGTGGACCTTGTCCAAAACTATAACTTTTCATTTAGTATTTTTAAAAAATTCGGAATTGTTAAAAAAACATGAAAAAAATAATTTTTTTTTCAAACTGCCGCCATTCAAACAAAAATTTTTTTTAACTTATCCAAGGGTCATACGATAGCGGCATCTATAATAATTAAGAATCCATCTATTTTTTATGTTTCAAATCACCAGGAGGGTTGGAATCATGCACGCCAGGACACCCTCTTTTTTTTCAGACCCCACTTTGACTGCTTATAACTTTGTGAATTTTAATTATTTTATTTTAATATTTTTTTTTATGTAATAATAAAATATCAATAAACAAATGATAAAAAAAATCGATAGTAAAAATATTATTTGTTTCCTTTATACAGCGCTTCAAAAACCGGGCGAAATTCATGCCTCTACAGTAGAATACCCCCTTAAAAATTAAATATTATTGAACAAAAAATAAACGTGTAGTATGTTCATTAAGAACAGGATTCAAAATCGCCGAAATAAAAAGTCAATCAGTAACTGAGAAACGACTTGACCGATCATTGACAAAAACTAATCAGCTCGATTCTCAAATAGTACCTTTGTAATGGTTTTTGAATTTTCAAAATCGATTCACGAATTTAGGCTTTAACGGGGACGAAAAATTTGACACTTTTTTGACAACTCTAAAAAAAAACGGCTCGGCCGATCGTGCGGCAAAATTAACCAGCACGAGTGCTTTTATCGAATTTTCATAAAGTATTGCACGTTTCTAAGAAAACGTCGATGAAATTTTGCCTCACCTGAAAAAGTTCTGCTCATTTTTTCAAACTCTGATAATATTTTGAAAATTATAACGACTTGTCATAGGGTCGAAATATTTAGTTATATTTGAGATCATGATCTCTATAAATGTTTTATAAATATTATGGTAAAAAAATTTAACAATTAAATACGAAGAAACGATCCGACCGATCTCTTAAAACTAATCAGCACGATTCCCAAATGATACCTTTCAGTTTCTGAATTTTGAAAAAATCGAAAAAATTTTTGTTTCATATTTTCAAAGTTTAGTTATTCAAAAATATGTCATTGAAAGGATTTTTCAAAACTACTATTATTTCCTGAGTTATAGCCGTTTTAGTGACGTGGCCTCTTTGATTGCTCATAACTTTGTGAATTTTAATTTTTTTTTTAATTATTTTTTTGTGTAATAATAAAATATCAATAAACAAATGATAAAAAAATCGATAGTAAATATATTATTTGTTTCCTTTATACAGCGCTTCAAAAACCGGGCGAAATTCATGCTTCTACAGTAGAATACCCCCTTAAAAACGATGCAGGATTTTTGGCTAAAACGTGTACGAAAATTTGTACACTTCTCTGTTGATTAGAAACGGCTTGGACAATTGTTGTACAAAACTGATAGACGGTAGTCATTATCTAGTTACATCAAATGACTTTTAAATTTTTGAAATCGATTTAACCGTTTTTCAAATATCGGCTCATATACACACATTTTTTCTCAAATTTGGCCTCAAACGATTCAGAATGACTAGAAACGTAGAGAAAACATAAAAATTACAAGTCGAATTTTTTTGTGAGAAAATATTTGATATTTTCTTATTATGTTATTTTCAAGGGCGGCCAAAAAATGCTCGCACACAGGCGGCATGGCTCTGTCATTTACCTATGATCTCTATAGTTACGCAGTGGTGTACTAAAATTGATCCTCAATACTTTAACATATTGTTTATTAATATGTGCATAATTATAAATCATTTATATTGAATTTCTTATTTTTTAGGAACAAGTATTACTACAGGAGAGGAAGTCGCTATTAAATTAGAATGCATCAAAGAAAAGCACCCGCAGTTGCATATCGAAAGCAAATTCTACAAAATGATGCAAGGAGGAAGTAAGTTGTTCAATACCGATACATAATACGAATTAATATTATACAATTTCTTTGCATGCAACATGTGCAATACGGAATTTAATAAATTTGTTCGTTGCGTACGTAAATCGGTTCAAATTCTGCTAATTGCATAAAAATTTGGAATTTAAAAAGAATATTTTTGATTCCTCTTCTATCAAAACCTAAACCTTGAATATAGATTATGAAGTAATTTTTGTATTTATGTGTGATTATATAAGGATAGTCATAATTATTATGTAAGACGTCTAAGCAAATTATTATGTAAGAGGTAAGACATATATATTATTGGATGAAATTATAATTTGGATATTGTCTTCAAAATATTATAGAGATAAATACTACACACAATTAGTTATAAATATCATATAGATAAATGTCACATAAAATTCCTGTAGGATTAGTTACACTAATCGCAAAAAAAATCTAAAATGTAATTTTTTATTTATTTGTGCGTTTCAAAGGTTTCTGAACATTTTGGAACACCTTAGAAAAAATTTAGGTGTGTGTGTTTTGATACAAAATTTTCGTCGACGATATCGAAAACACGGCTCTACAGATTTGAATGATTCGATAAATTTCAATAAAACATTCGAAGACGTGTGCTAATTAGTTTTTGGCTAAGGCAGGTCCAGTTGGTTCGAAGATGCAGGGCAAAAAGTGCCAAAAATGATACTTCAATTTTTCAGAGAATGAGAAACGTCTGATATGAATGATACATTTCGTTTATATTGACGAAATGAAAAATTGATGAAATTTTTGTGAAGGCAGGTCTAGCGGTTTCAGAGATCCAATGAAAAAAGTAAAAAAAATCGATTTTGCGAATGAACATTATAGACATACACACATCAAATTATCGCATGTTTTATCGAGATTTTAATAATATGTACAAATTTTGTTTTCATTTCTACGGGTTCAGTAACAATTTTAAAATTGTTTAGCCGTTAGAAAGCGACACGGCGCTTACTCGCTTCGATATGTCGTCTCTAAACAGCGACGAAGCGCGACTGCTTTGAAAAAAAAAAACAATTTTTTAAAAAATAAAATTCAAATTTTTCTAAAATAACAAAATTCAGAAAAATCTTCTTCGAAGTTTTAAAGTTTGAATTTCAATTTTAAATCTTTTTAAAATTTGAGATTTTGGACATTGAAGGAGGACACACATTACGTGCATTTAATTCATAGAAAAAAACGTAATTTTTTTTTTAAGAAAAAACTTTTTTTTTTGAATTGAGGTAAAAAATGAATACTCATGATATATTACTTGAACCCTCTTCTCCCCCCACGTGATATTTCATGATGTTTTGTCAAGCCTCCCTCCTCCACACCTTGATTCACGATGCTATTCACCAAGTTTGAGATTTAAATAGATAAAAATGAATATATTTATACAATAAATATAGATTTAATTAAATCGATAACTAGTAATTGACCAACCGATTTATAAATATTTAATTTTTTTATCGAATAAAAATGTTTAATTTTAATGTACATTATTATGGTTCCATGAGAATAAGTATTTTTGAATAATTCATAAGGACTGAAGTACGTGTTTCTTGGACTTGGTTTGAATTTTTTTTGTTCTCATTTCGTTCTTGGGCTCGGGAATGTCGATTATACGGTGGAGGAAATTAAAGTAACTTAAAATTTCGTAGTATTTGTTTCTTGTGGATAGAAATACCTCTCCTGTTTTGAACATGTTTGTCTATGACGCGCAGGTTCCTATACAAGTTGTATTGCCTCGCCAACCGTAGAGGAATCAACGCGCAATATTTTTTTATTGGCTTCACATATTCGGCGGCTTCTTTAGTCAGTGCTGAACTTGATATTCTTTATGTTTATAGTTATAGCAATTGTGCGGTCTGCTTGTCTGACAAAAATAGTTAAGTTTTATATGTAGATTTTTAATTATTTACAATCTCATACCTTGTTATACAGTGGACCGTATTTGAATTGTAAATACCAGGTTATTGATTAAAAACATAAAATCTTTACAGGGTGTCCCAGACCTTGACGTCAAGCCGAAACGGTGTGATAGTATTGACCTTTACTGTCTTGAAAAAAAAATTGGAAAAAGAATCTCACGTCTTTTTGGAAGTTATGAGCTTTTAAGTGCAACCTAGAGTTCTGGTGAAATTATGACCATTTTTCGGTTATTTTAGTTAATTTCTATTAATTGTGTTCATATTAAAGCTCAAAATTTCCAAGCAACGTGAGATTTTTTTTCTCTAAAGTTTTTCAGGACATTAAGTTCAATACTATCATCCCGTTTCGACATGTTGTTAAGGTCTGGGACACCCTGTATATATTGAGTTTTATGTCGTATGATATGAGTTTAAAGGTTTAAAAAGAAAATTCTCACGTTTTTTGGAAATTATGAGCTTTTAAGTGCATCCAAGAGTTCTAGTGAAATTATGACCATTTTTCGGTTATTTTGATTAATTGTTACTAATTTTGTTAATTTCAAAGCTCAATTCCGAAACAACGTGACATTTTTTTTTTCTCTTTTCAGGACAGTTCAGTTCAATACAATCATTCCGTTTCTACATATTGTTAAGGTCTGGGACACCCTGTATATATTGAGTTTTATGTCATATGATATGAGTTTAAAGGTTTTAAAAAAAAATTCTCACGTTTTTTGGACAGTTGGTATCAATACTATCATCCCGTTTCGACATGTTATTGAGGTCTGGGACAACCTGTATATATTAAGTTTCATGTTGTATAATGTGAGTTGAGTTTAAAGGTTGGCTACAAATAATAAAAATCCTACGAGTTGCTAAAAATTAATCCATACGATTCGGCTAACATCCTATGCTTCATTCATTGGGGAATCAAAATAATTAAAATTAAGTAAATAATTTGTAAAATATTAAGTAAAATATCTAATATAATATCTAATAATAGATTCAACTAATATTCAATGGTATGAGGATGTGCATCATGGTAATAAATGTTTTGGCATTACAATTATTAAAATATTGCAATGCATATGTATTTATGTATGTATATATGTATGTACTGACTGCTCCGAGTCTATATAGAAGAGAAATGTCACATTTTTCTTAGAAAATTATGTATTTGCAAAGAAAGGTCAACATGTGGACAACTAATTGTAAGAGGATCATATATCAATTGCATTTTGTAATTTCTTCATTTTTGAAATATTATCTAAACACCACGTGTTCTTCTCGATCATAAACGGAGTGACAACATGTCGAATGAACGAGACGAACACGTGGTTTTAAGATATCTTATATGATCCTCTTATAATTAGTAGAATGAAACTTCAAGTAGAGCAAAAGTGTAGGTTTTCAGATCGTATATTTGTAATATTGAAATAGTAAGCCGTGTTAGGGGGCATCTATTAATCACGTGATCGATTTTTTAAGGAATTTTGGACCCCCCTTCCCCTTGGTGATACGTGGTGATATTTAAAATTAACCCCCCTCTCCCCACCAAACATCATGTGTAGTTTTAGTTACGAGAAAAAATGGTAAAACTTTTGATTCTTTTAAAAAATGGTTTAATATTTTTCAAAAAAAATTAAGAATTAAATGCACGTTATATCTTACTAGACCCCTCCCTCCCCACGTGATATTTCGTGATTTTTTGTCAAAACAAACCACCCCCCACCCTCCAAAAACCTCACGTGAATAATGGACGCCCCCTTAGCGTATGATTTTCGTGCACGGTTATAAAAACAATATTTTTCCCTGCAACTAACAATAATATCCTTATTTTGCAATTGGTTTACTAAAGTAACTAAGAATAGTTTGTGTAATAAATATTTATTGAAGAAATTTTGCTAGTTTTTGGGATCGCGGATCAACCAATTAGAATAATTCAAAAAGCATTCGATTCGTTTTGATGGGAAGACGTGTTCATTAGTTTTCGGCCAAGGTAAGTCCAGCGTTTTCGAAGATACGGGGCAAATAGAGCCTAAAATGGTAGTTTCGTTTTTGAGATAACAGAGCGTCCGATTTGAATGATTCAAAAAACATTTTATTGCTATTGACCAAATGAAGAACTGATTAAATTTTTGGGAAGGCAGGTCTAGCGGTTTTGGAAATCCAATAATAATAATAAAAAAGTAAAAAACTTTTCGATCATTAGATTTTTATAAAGTTTTTAATGTGAAGTACAAATTTTGTTCACATATTTTTTAAAACGATTGAAAAGAAAACGAATAGATCAAAAATCTATTTTTTTCAGATTTATTAAAAAATTTAATTTTCGATGCGGGAAGTTTCAGTAATTTGCCTTAAGGCACGATGCCATGCACCACTAGTTAAATTTTTATAATTACTATACACACACAAAACTACTAAATGTATCGTTTTTCCTTCCATTTTATAATTATTTTGTTGAAGTAGAATTTCTTAGACAGTGGCGCGAAAACTCATTTCTTTAAATTGCACAAACGGTTTTCAACCTTTGTTAGATTATTTGTAATATCAATTTGCAATGATGAAAAGAATTCTCCACTGGGAATTCTGGATTGTTTTATAAATGCAGTAATACACTGAAAGAATTTATACAGAAGCTTGATAACAGGATCAACATCTACTTTGTTGACTTATATATTGTTTATCAGATGCATTATTTGAAGTTTGTTTTGGGTTTCTAATTAGTATTGATTTATACTATATACAACCGCGTATACTATAAACACTCTGATTTTTTCTGAATATATAATATCAAATTTCAATGTTCATTGGAACAATTTTAATAATTTTGTTGGCGCAAAACACGGATGTTTTTGCAACCATAAATGTATAAATTGATATCGTTCTAATTTTTTCCACAACAACTAGCTTCTATCATGCATTGTGTGTTTCTTTATTTCAAGAGGAGAACTTTCGTTTTATTCGCCGACCACGCTCTCTTCTTGTTGAAGCGAAACGCGCTGTTCTACACAATATCAGCAACGATCACAATTTCTTTGCGATTTTATTTTGCGGCAGCGGTGGCGGCCTAAA